ATTCTCAAAATGTTAAATGGATAGGCGTTGAAGACCTCTTCTTCTTCTCGATAACCCTAGGGGTTCATCTATAGCATTGGATACGTTTCAGCAGCCTAACCTCTAATGGTGTTGCCTCTTGAACCATTCCACTCCTTGGAGATCCTTTTAAAGATGAAACAGAAAAGCGCGATTACATGGAATAATGACATACATGGAGAGTGATCGTTCTCCTCTCAAATTGCGCTATGCGGAAGGTTAGTACGATATCAATTTTTAAAAGTTTTGTTATGATTCTGAAATTTTGATTCATTAGTTTTGATAATAAAGACTATAGAGAATTTCTATTAACAATATGACGAATTTGTAAATACGTTTTCCTTTACAATTTCCGGTGACAAATTCCAACTATGGAGACGGCGTGACTAGAGTTTCAAGTAAGGTAATCTTCCAAATCTTATTTTTCTTTAAATTTTCCTGCATGTTTATGTTCTATTGATCATTGTTGATCCCCCATAACCATTGTTGGCTAATCAATTGCCAAAATGGGTGCAATGTTTGCTTATACTCTGGACTAAGAAGTATAGAAGTTGATTCAAGTGAGCAAGTCATAATACTTCCCTTGCAAACACAAATTGGTCGAAAATTAAAGAATTGGATGTCAAGTATGCATCTGTGTTTGTTTCCTACGGTTTATCTTTACACATCTTAACTTATTGAATGCATATCTATTTAATATATCTGAGCATGGACCAGTTTTAATAGTAACTTATTTTGAAATTTTGAAATTATTTAGGATTGTTTGCTTTTCCTTCTTCATATTTGTGTGGAGAATTGTGGTATGTTTACTTCATTCCTACTTTTATACTTAGAACTTAACCAAAACTGGTTCTGTTAGCATGCTAATCTCGTACGGTTTTGCAAGATCCACTAACATATCTTGTTATTCTTTGTCTAAAGATTCATATGGGATGGAAAGTGGTTCTTATATTTTTTTTTAATTGTTTATAAAGTTAGCACAAATATATGTATAAAGAATGATCATATATGATTAAAGTTTTCGATGTTTTGACTAATGCATCTCAATGTTGCTATCTACTTAGGGACATCCACCGAAGATCTTCTTAAGGACATTCACCAATTGGGCTGCGAGGTTTGTAGGAAACAATATTATGGATAAGTTATTTCACTCTCGAGATTTTCGACAGAAAGTGCAAAACGAATCTTTTGTACGATCTACTATTGGTGTTCTTTAATTGTCTTCGGGATGTAAGGTTTCAATCTGTTCTTCTGAACAGTAATGTTAGTGTTAGAATTATTTCGTGAGATCATAATAATACTTTGCGGAAATTGGTTTATGCATATTTCTCTCTTATAATTTCATTTTTCCATGAGTCATTTAGTCTTTATACTAGTTCTGAATTTTCCATTGTGATCTGTTGTTGCTGCTGATTTTCTACCATGCTTAGAGTTGGTTATCAAGGTTAAAATTTTTATTAAGATGTAGTGTTGGTTTGTCCTAGGTTGCTTAACCTCTTAAATTAAAATTGTTTTTTTTTCGTAATTACATGCATTTGCAAATTTGCAAAGCTATTATTTTTTCTTGGTGATGCAACTTCGTAGCACATTGCGGCTAATATTAGAATCCTTGACCTAATCTATTGCTTACTAAAGCCCGTGTCTGATCCAAATAAGAAGTTTGAGGCAAAAATAATTTGGAAGTAAGTTCATTAGAAAAAAAATTCTTTTGTTAGTTAGTCATAATTTGATATAAATTCAATTTATAAGTAAACTTGTTAAATTTAAAAGTAAACTCTATAATTTGCAAGAACGTTGGATACGAAAGATATAACATAAACATAAAGGTTGTTGAGCTCCTCTTCATGTTTCCAACAAACCGTAATCTATTTCGAAATAGACAGTACATGGAACTTTCACTCACATGAATTCAAACAAAGAACTAATATTAGATCTCAGTGTTATTAATCTTTAACAATTCAATATTTTTCATTGCAACAACTAACACTCTGTAGCACAAGATAAAAACTAAAACAAAGCAAAATCCGAAGAGACCGTATGGTGAAGCCAAGTCTACTTGAGATTCGTCATCCTTTCTAAAGTACTTAAAATGACCATGTTAACTTTAAGAAAATGCAGAACCCGCAAAAACAAGAAGACAAGATGTGATCCACTTTTGCTTCTACCTCTCCTAAATTAAAAGAAAAAGTCTTGATTCATGTTCGTATGTATGTGATTGTCGCATGTTGAGAACAAAACCTGGGAGAAGACGTCGTTCTTTGTTTTGTAAAGGTTCCATTAATACAAACTTTTGAGTTTAAAACATATAAACCGTATAATTTGTTTACCAACAAGCTGTATAGTTCTCCGAGTTACCGTTGAAACTCCAGCAATTTCGAGATACCGCCAATGTAACATATTGCTTAGCCCTGAATGTAAAGAGCCCGGTAATGTTTTCGGGTTCGTGAGAAACCTTCATGATGTTTGAATTTATTATTCTGTATCGTTTTTCGGAAGATAATTAATATCTTCTTACTTTCTTCAACATAGAAGCGGTAGTTGTCGTAAGGAAGTTTCAAACAACAATAAGGCTAACAAGGATAAATCATACGTATGCGCGTATCATGATAAAATCATTTTGAGAATATTGGAAATTCATCAGGATATCATATCACGATCTAAAATCATATCACGATCTAAACTCTTTTTTTTTTCTAAAATGTATGTGAATAAACTCACGCGTATGCGCGGGTATTCACCTAGTATGTTCTTAAATTTCAATTTTTAGACGGATTAAGTATTCGAGTTTAATTAAGCTGCCATGTTATTCGAGTCAGCTCAAATGAACTTGATTTCACCAATTTCAGCGGTTGACTTGGGTCTAAGAGGACCATCTCTATCTCGGCGGACCAGCTTTACCTTGGGGCCGAGGAGATTTTGGACCAACCGAATCGAACGTGTGTGCAGAACGAACTGCTCGGTGCCGGCGACACTAGCACTGTCATCACTGTCGCGCTTGGTCTTCATCGGCGTTGCTGGAGATTGTGATTCCATCTCAAAAAGCTTAGAAGCTAGTAAATAAGTTTTCGGCAAAATGTAGTCTAGAATCCGATGAGTTTTCGCGATTACAATAAAAGAAAACAAAAATGAATATATAGAAAAACACGTACATAAAAACGTAT